TAAAAGTGAATCTAACCACCAATGAAAATCAGTAAAAATTGTTCGAAGTTGATGGATACGATCAATCACTTGTTGAAAATCATCTGGTGAACCACGTAATGTTACTTCAGGAATACCACACGATAAACAGCATCGGTATTTATAATAAGCTTTGACAGTATCCATTAATGTACAATCAAATACAGCTTGTTCAACTGGTGTTGTACCTGAAAAAGGAGTTGTCAAAAGTGTAGCCATATCTGTTTTCATATCATCTTTAACCAATCCACACATCAGTCGAACAGCTCTTGACCAATCAATAGCAGGTACAGATTTATTACCATATTTTGGTCGATCAGAATCTGGTATTCGAAGGCTATCAACATTCAAATTTAATTCTTTTTGTCCTTCATGTGATACCATTAGATATCGATATTTTTCAGCATTTTGATTGAGATGAATCCCAACACCTTGTGCAATAGCAACCCAAATGTCTTCAACACTTAATTCAAGTGGATAATGATAACAATAAACTGTATAAATAGCACCGACAAAAGCATTTCTAATTCGCTAATTATCACCATTAAGTTCAGCAGCTAAAGGATAATTAGTTTGAAAATTTTCGAGTGATAAGTTTTCATCTTTTAAAGCCCATCGGGCTAAATCAGCTTCCGATAGTTGCTGAGTTTCAGTATATCTTCTAGCACATGCATCAACATTAGCTACAGCAAATGTAATAGTCGCCATGTTTTATGCTAAAATCAAAACAATGAAGTGAAGTCTTTTTTTTTATATGTTATATTCAGATAGAAAAATTCGCGCGTGTACATCTTTGTTCGTATCTAGAATTTCTTCATCATTACTAAATGATTACTCATATGATATTAAAAAACCAATGAAACATGAAAAAGAATAAGACAAGTATGCAAATATATTCATATTTCACTATTGATTACCGTGCATGCAATAGAAACTGAGCTAAGCGGTAGCTCTAATAGATGTCGCAATGAAAGTATTTGAATTTTATCTATATAGAAAAAAAAGCTGCAAATGTTCTAAGTGGAATGTAATGTTCTATTACAAGAGAAAATCCTTGTTAGACTTAATTTGATACCCAGCTGATCGTATGAAATTAAAGAATGTGCCAATACTCTCCATGCGATAGAAGATGAAGTGTGTACAACAAAATACTATCATCTTCTTGACGTACTTATGATTACTTGTTTGAAGTCGTTGTTGACGATGGTAATGAAGATAAAAAATCAATGAATAACATATTTGCAATCTGTTCGAGTATTTATACAAAAATTATTGCAAGTCAATAATGTTTTCTTCCTTCAATATGTAATATTAGTCAAAATATAGTGGGATTTTTTTCCATGACGAATATCCTACGACGATACAGGAAGAGAGAGTAGATGCTCATTATCTTGACGAGGAGCAAAAATAACTTCGCTGCAAGAAAAGGAAATGTAATAGCAAATAGATGAGAAAAAATCGTATCTATGTCAATACGATAATGACTCATCCCCCCCCCATGTCTAAATTTGTTAGACTTAGTTGTCGAGAATAATAAGGTATTTTTTGCTGAATCAAGTTTTTGATTCGTGGAATATTCTTCAATTTGCTTTTGCATTAATTCTTCATCTTTTTTCATTTTATTCCATTCGGTATTCAGCAGTTTATATGCATTCTAAACATAGTCGGATGTTCATGTTTTAATAAAGAGACATTATATTCCCCCTTCTTTTGCTAAATTCGTATGACAACTTAAAAAAGCATCACGAAACAAAAGATAACTTTTTGATTTATTAGACGACATTTTTATTATGTATGAATATGTTTATTTGTTGTTGTTTACTTCTTTTGAATTTGGTTCGTTTTACTTTTTCTTCACTGCATAATCGGCGCCATTGTTAATATCTTTCAAAGCTTTGACGGCGGCGCCTATTGTAAATTCAGTATATTTCTTGCGTAATTAAAATATTACGAATTCAGCATATTTATAGGGACAAAAGAAGCATAGAATAGTTTATACGTACGAAATTAGTGAATCATCTCATTTGGTGAAGCTATTCATAAGCGATGCACATGTTAATGAATACATGCATGACAAATATAACTACCTATTGCATTATCGAATATTGTATTATCACATTGCTCAAGTATATATGCAATACTTCATTTCATCTCAAGCGTTTACATCTACCAGTGAAGACCCAACAAAGATGAACCAAATGAGTAATTCTGCAAGAAAAATAACTAATTAGTTACTCTGTCGTACTATTCAGATAACTATTTGTAGAATAGTTTTGATTATTTCTTTTATAACTGTAAATTAACAAAACAAATTATTCAAAAACTATTGTTTTGAATTAGCTAATATTAAAGAGATCGTCTTTGAAATTAGTTCTTAACCCATTTTTCGAATATTTTTCTTTACTGAAATAAATCATTTCAATAGTATGTTTGTGAAAATTATATACAAACTGAATACATGAGTCCTAATCAATAATTTATTGAAAAGATATGAGGTTTTCATCAGAAATCTCGTGTAATATAGGCATAAAATAACTGAATTTTCTATTTTTGCAGCTATTTTGATTATTTTTCAGGAAGAAAATACTAACTTAAATTATACTGAATATCAATCAATAGAAAAAAATTTAAATTTCTCAAAGTTCGATGTAATTCTTTCCAATTGTATTTCATAGAAGATTTCAGCAAATGAATGGTAAATGAAGCTCAAAATATTAGTATCTATGATGATAAATTATTGAAAGTTGTTCGAGATCACAAAAAGATTCCATGAGTGAGAGAAATATTCTGATTTGTCGCGTGAGAACTATTTTGAATGTGTTTTTTTTTGTGCTAAAATGTTGTTCGTGTTCATCATCTCTACATTCGTGAACAAGAGTGCCATGATATAGTTGTAAAGAGGTCGATTTCCAATTGTTGCCTTTGAGATTTGATGCTGATCATTAGTTTAGCTATAACTTGATTCAGTCTTAACATTTGGTGGAGTGTTAATAGATCTAGGTTTTCGCTTTGCCTACATTCATTTTATACTTACGTTTCCAAGGAAATATCGTACTCATAAGATGAGTCTTTTTTTGTTTTACTAAAATAGTGAGCATTAAAAGCATTATTTTAGGTTCACTTTTCATGACAAACAGAAGTATTAGGTCAGAACTTGTGCTTCTTCGGAAATAAAGATTCTGTTGAATTCCATAATTTTGTGTAATTGATGCCAATTGTTTAAGCAATTTGATTTACGGTCTTTTCCTTTATATTATAGTTATACTAACTGTGAATCATCATTCAAAAAACTTTATTATTATTTCTTTTTTGATAACAGTTGAGTCGAATCTATAACAAATCATTATTTTATTGATTCTTTACATTATAATTTTCCATAATTTAACTGAATCTAATCATTAAGATAGCCTTCCATGAGTTCATTGAGCATCATTCTAATGTACAAGGCACTCGATAAAATTTTTCAAATTTTTTTTCGCTCATTCAATGCATCGATGTCTAAAAGCACCAACCTCAGAATTTAAGGGTTTAATACCCTTTGTATAAAAAGTCAGCTAGTACTGACTTTTAGTACTATCATACCTTTCTGGGACAAAACAAGAAAAAGTACCGTATAAAAGAGATGCTAGCTTACATTTCAACCGTTCATTAAAATTTTTCATGACATATGTCAGAAGATACAGAATTAAAAGCTGAACAATATAAGCTATATTGATACCGTATTATGTCGAATCATCCAAGTTTTATAAAGTCAACATGAGTCAAACGAGCTCTTTCGATCAGTCCACATAACTGATGGCGCACAAGTTTTGCATTAATTTTTTTTTAATACAGCAATAAGACGAAATATCATGGAGACTTCACTCTTTTTTTGTTAGAAAGAGTAGAGTGTCTAGTGCAAAAATATATAAAAGAATTTTATTGGAAATGTTTCCCGAAAGCCCCAGCAATCTTAGTGCCAAAAATATCAGAAAATTCTTTCGTAACTTTTTCGAACGTGGAAAAAATTTCATACACTGATACAGGTTATCTTTGTATTCGTCTAATCCGAGTTTTATAATGTAAAGATAGAGCAGTATTGCTGTACAAAAAAAAGAACTTTTCTACATGTTTTATAAGGGTCGAAATGAATGCTTTAATCCATCCTTAGATATCATCGTTTTTTCATCAGTGCTGATAGCAGTCGAAAAACCAAATTCTACTTTAAGAGAGAGGTTGCCAGAAGCTATCTATTTCATATGATGAAAAACATCTTATGGGATTCTCTACCACACAATATTATTTGCAATAGCATACATCTTCTCTTTTAGATATTGAGACAAAAATTTATTTTGGCGTTGTAAACGTCAAACTCGTCAAACGGATTTTTTAAAATTAATTTGTTTGGGTGTGGGTGTGGGTGTGAGTGGAGGTGTGGTTGTTCATCTTGTCTTAATCCACACCCTATAAAGAAGTTTTTCTAATCCTGAAACTTCTGTTATCATATTCATCAAAACTAAAGGACATTCCAAGGACTATTTATATAATTTTTCATTATACGTACAAAAAGATATTAGAGGTACCTTTTTTTCACTTAATCTTGACTATTTAATATTCGTTAAAAAGAATTAATATTGTTCTTTGTCATAGCGAATATTTTATTAATTAGGTTCTATTTTCTAATACAAAGCGGAAATGTGCATTATTGCCTAAACTTGATTCAAAATGAACGCATGCTCTTACCTTAAATAATCAATACCAGACTATCATTTGAAAACTTCTTTTGATCAAAATAACAAAGACAAATATTTAGGATTTTTGTTTATTTGGACGGGTATTTGGGTGTGGGTTTAGAGGTCACTACTGTTGAGACACTCACACACACGTTCATGTGCAATTCGTTGTACTTGAAGGGTGTGTGTGTAGGTATGGATGTGGGGCGTGGGTATGGAATGTGAATGGGTATGGGTCTGGATGGGATGTGGGTGGATGAGTGCGTGTAAGTGTCTGTTCTCTTCGTTGACACCCACACCCCACACCCACCCACACCCACACCCACACCCACACCCACCCACACCCACACCCACACCCACACCCACCCACACCCACACCCACACCCACACCCACCCACACCCACACCCACACCCACACCCCACACCCACAAGGGTCATTCGGTCAAAAAAAGATTTTTTTTTCTTTTTTTTTTTTTTGAATGCGCCATTTATTTATTTATTACGTTCGTCGATGCTTATAATAAAAGACGTACTGTCGTCCGTCAGCACTGGAGCAAAGAAAAGGAATAAAAAAAGACGTGGAAAAAAAACACAATCAAGCATAAGGATAGACAGTTACTTTTTTTTCTTTAGTCAGTTGTTTTCATTATTCGTTATTGTCGGAAAAAATTCACAGTACATATTTAAACAAAAATCGTTGATTGACAGTTGTGTATATCGGATAAACAGTCTTCTCAAGCATACTTTCTCCAATACAATGGTGATAACACAAAGATCTATTGAATTCTTGCCAAATGAACTCTGGTTATTATTTATAAGCTTCCTTTCACCAATCGATCTTTATCGAGCGCTAGTTGGTCTCAATCATCGTATTAGTGGTTTAGTTTTTGTCATGTCTCGACGTCTAATTCTCGATACATCTCAATGTAATATCAATAGCATCCGTTTTTCTGATATGCGTCACCTGCTCGAAGGAAAAGATGATTGGTCAAAATG